TCCTGCTCCTCTGAGGGGGATCCGCTCCTCTACAGCTGGACTCTGAATGGAGGTCCACTGATGGATGGAAACAGCAGCATTGATCTGGATGAGGGAACTGATGGAGACATCAGCTGCAGCGTGAAGAACCACATCAGTCACGCACAGAAGACCGTTAGACTCAAACCCTGTCCTGGTGAGATCAGTTATGTTCATCTACAGATATCAACTACACATAGTCTGATTGATTGATTGATTGACTGCTGTGTTTGTGTTGTTCAGTGTCTGTGGTGTTTGTGCTGGTCTGGTGTCTTCAGCTGATGGTTCTGTTGGGTCTGTTAGGAGGTTTTCACATCTACATGAGACACACGTCAGGTGAGAGACGTTTATCATCATCATTATGGATTTGACATGCAGATATTAAGAGTGTGAAGATGATGATGATGTGATGCTTTTAGGAAAGAAGCAGGAAAATCAGAAAGTGAGGATGAGAAGATTTAGAGAAGCACCTGAACACACAGCAGAAAATTCATGAGAGAAGCAGATCTTCTGTATTTTATAGGATTTTTAACATGTTTAGCCACAGATGTCTATTTTTTTATTCATTTGTATGTGGAGTCAGTTTTGAATTAAACAATAACTTTGGTACCTTTGGCATATGGTAAGTTAAATGAAAATAAAATGCTTTGCAATTAAACTGTATTTCCAGTCAAGAATTGAGTTAATTCAGTTGTAGAATGCAGTTGTAACTCCTGTGAATTACTGTGTGGATACTGAACAGGATTGAGCACTAAAAGGTAAATTAAGAACCAAATTTAGCTGCGTATCAAACTGCCAAAGTCACGTGATTTCAGTCAATGAGGCTTCATTATGTCATAACTGTTTCAAGATTTCAGTGATTCACTGCTAGTGGGCGAGTTCAATGAACCCAACTAGCATTTATCAAGTATACCCGGCTGCAGCCTGCAGAACGGGGCGGGGCTGCATCTGGGGCGGGGCTACATGCGTCACCCCGCCCACAAATGGTTTCATTGGCTAATGACAAGTAATGACTTCGACGCTTCTGTAAACAGGAAATGCGGTTGAGCGCATAGTTTAAGCTACGATTCATACATGATATTAATACTGTATATCTAAAAATATTACACAATAAATTATTAATCATTTAATTATCTACACGGGATATTAATATACCAAACATAATGTGATATTAAATAATATTAATATACCAACATTTTAATCATTCCATCACAGTTTATGCATCCACATATTTTTGTCTCAAAGCATACAAATCCCTGGGCTAAACGACGTTACACGAGGGCGAACTTATTTTAACTACTTCACATCTCCTTATATAATCGCTCATTAATGACATAATGAACGTTGTGTTGTAGTCAAACATTACATTTAACCAAATTACACAAAACACATAGCTCATCTACTCACCAGTGCAGCGATGACGTAGAAATTAAAAACTGTTGGTGTCATTACTTTTTCATTAACCAATGATATGATTTGTGGGCTAGGTGACACATGTACCCCTGCCCCAGATGCAGCCCCGCCCCGTTCTCGCATCTATGGATGTACTCACACTAGGCGTTTTGAACCGTGCCCAAGCGTGTTTGACCCCCAAAGCCTGGTTTCGTTTGACTAGTGTGATCGTTCCGTGCCGCGCCCGGGCGGTTCGTTTAGCCGGCCCTGGCCCGGTTAGAAGAGGTGGGCCAGGGCACAGTTCGGTTGGGCTCGGGCGCAGTACGCATGTAGTGTGAGCGCTAACCGCGCCGGAGCACGGAACAGATACTATTTTGTGTGCGCTACTGTCATCATTACGACCTCAAACATATTCTATTACTACTACTACAGTATACTTTTCAACTAATTTAATTAAATCAAGTATGTTTAGGTTTATAACTGGTCTGGTTCTCACATTATTGATGAACAGGAATTGTAGTTTGCGAGTACAGCTGCAAATTATTTAATTAACGTCAGCTGCCTCCTTAATAATCCTCTGATACAGACAAGCAAAAATCGCTGCACGGCATAATTTATAAATTTATCACGCAGAATATTAGCAAAAGTGGTTTTCTCCGTTATCTCGTACATGACGTGAGCGTGCTCCGGCCCGGTGTTGTGCCGAAATCTGTACCCCTGCCAGATTATGCATCCCCTCGTTGAAGTCGCTACCTGATTGCCTAATCCCAACCCCACCCCAATCCTAACCCCTCCCCCACACCTACTCCTCCTAAACCTACCAATACTAGGGGATGCATAATCTGGCAGGGTGCAAATTTCGGCACTACACCGGAAAGTTTAGTGCAAGTGTGAGTGCAGGCCAGCTGCAGCTCTCCAGGAATTGAGTTTGACACCACTGGTCTATAGTATTGCGGCTGATCTCTTTTTTTTTTTTTTCAATCAGTGCAAATAAATGTAAATACTGGCAGTGCATCAGATGGAGAGATTGAAAAGTTCATCAAAAGATGGCTGCTGCTCACTTTGGACAATGATGGGGGAAGAAAAGAGCGGCCCAAATTCAAACAAATTCTTCCAAAGGTATGCTCCAAATGTTAACATTTACCAGAGTTACCACTCATGTTATCAGTCTGAGAAACCATACGTGTCATTGTCTGTTCCCTTTTTTGTCTCTTTCTGTCAATCTGTCCCTCTTTTAGAGTACGCTTACTTGAGGAAGCAAAGATCGTCCCTCGTCGCCGGAGAAACACCCAACGCTTCCGGTGGCTGGGTGCGCTATCCGGATGGTGACCGTCGCTCTCTCTCTCGTAGCCAGAAGCCTCGCTCGCCTTTCTGATTTCACAAGTGCTTTTCACGGTCTCCGATGTCCCACGGCAGAACACAAATGGCAGCGAATGTGTGAAACAGTTTCAACACACACGACCTCAGTATATGCAATGAAATGTGTGAGCTGTCTCGTTTAAAGGCAGCGATGTCTCGAGAAATGGCGCTTCACGATCCCACCTGATGCATAAAAGGATTATTCAGTCACTTTGAGGGCTGTCAGTATAATCATGTTTATAACTGGGGTCTCAGAGATCCCAAACACAGCATAAGGGTATAACAGCCCACGTCAATGGGTAGCTGAATTTTTTTTATTAATTATGATCACGTGTTTGTATTTTATATTATTGATCGATACAATTTCATGAAAGCCTCAAATGCTTCAGAAAGCCTCGGTTTCCCATCACTACGTATAACTCCGAGAAACTCAATGTTAACCCATACTGTGAGCTAACTGTATCTTAGAAGTCCAATTATGAATATACTCAGTTTTAAACAAACTAAAATCACATTTTTCTCACGACTCTCTTCTCCTCCGTCTCTCTCTGATGGACCTCTTCATTACCCAATAGCGTTACATTCACCTATTGGGGAGGCGGGTTTAAGCTATTAAGCATCCAATCACTAAACATAATACAAGCTTGATTGTACACACCACATTTTTCACATGTGCATTTCTAACAAACTTTTATGCTACATTACATAAAGATACATACAGTGGGTACGGAAAGTATTCAGACCCCCTTAAATTTTTCACTCTTTGTTATATTGCAGCCATTTGCTAAAATCATTTAAGTTAATTTTTTTTTCCTCATTAATGTACACACAGCACCCCATATTGACAGAAAAACACAGAATTGTTGACATTTTTGCAGATTTATTAAAAAAGAAAAACTGAAATATCACATGGTCCTAAGTATTCAGACCCTTTGCTGTGACACTCATATATTTAACTCAGGGGCTGTCCATTTCTTCTGATCAGCCTTGAGATGGTTCTACACCTTCATTTGAGTCCAGCTGTATTTGATTATACTGATTGGACTTGATTAGGAAAACCACACACCTGTCTATATAAGACCTTACAGCTCACAGTGCATGTCAGAGCAAATGAGAATCATGAGGTCAAAGGAACTGCCTGAAGAGCTCAGAGACAGAATTGTGGCAAGGCACAGAACTGGCCAAGGTTACAAAAAAATTTCTGCTGCACCTAAGGTTCCTAAGAGCACAGTGGCCTCCATAATCCTTAAATGGAAGACGTTTGGGACAACCAGAACCCTTCCTAGAGCTGGCAACCTATCAACCACTTAGCAAGAGACTAGCAAGTGCATAGCAACACACTTAAAAATACATACGGAACAACTTAGTAATCTGCATAGCAATGTTCTATAACAACCCAGAACCAAAGCCAAAACCCTAGCAACCACACAGCATATCAGCACCTTAGCAGCCACAAAACAACATACTAAAATCAACTGCATTGTAATGGCATATTAACCAACAAAAACAATCAAGAAACTACATAGCATCAGCCTAGAAACCACATAGCAACATGATAAAAACAACTGCATTGCAATGGCATATTAACCACCCAAAACAATCTAGCAACTACCAATTTAACAACTACATGGCAACACCTTAGCAACCACACAGCAATAGTCTAAAAATTTCAGAACACCTTAAGTGAATAGAAATGGCTTATTAGTCCAACCAAAAGCACCATAGCAACATCTACAAACCATTCAGAACACCTAGTAACTGCATAGCAATGGTCTATCAACAGACCAGAACAACCTAGCAACCACCTAGCAAAAGCCTAGTAACCACCTAAAAAATAGAAAACCATTCTTTGTTGCATTTAATGCATTCCTATGCAGTTGCTTGGGTTTTCTAATTGTGTATAATACTAGAAAGGGAAATAAAGAACAAATATTTTAATAGTGATATTACAATTTACATTTTCTTTAAGATGTATGAGCAGTGCAGTGGTTAGACTGTCGATTACAATTGTATACTGCTTACAGTTACCATTACTGATTACAAGTTACATAACGGCAATTGTAGCTAGTAACAATCTGTTGGATTACATATTAGGGTAATGTATTCTGACTACTTTTTGATTACTTTTGCCTTAACTTGTGTGAAAATATTTTCCATTCTTTGTTTTAACATCATGAATTGCATTAAACATTACATTACACCAGACTTTCTGAATGTATACAGAAGTAAGATTTTTTAGAAAGGAAAATATGAGAAAAAAATAAGAATTGAGGCAAATCAATATATTATGAATAATTTACTGCTATTGTGTAAATAATATGTAATCAATAACTTTAATCTGATTATGAGTACTTGAAAATGTAATATAATCTAATTAAAAGTACTTATTGTTTGGAATCTGATAACGTAGTCCAGATTACATGTAATCAGTTACTATCCAGCACTGTGTATGAGTGAACGGAAAGAGTCAGTTATTTTGAAACAATACTTAGATTTATTTTTTTTTTGGTGGAAGTCTATATTTGTTGTGTGAGGAATAGCTGGCATGAATAGCATGTCATGTTTCACATCTGGGTAAAATATCGCATGAGTGAATGTAACCTAATAGGTGCACATGAGAACATTAGCCTCGCAGGATGCTAGGCAATTCAGCTTCCCACATCTGTGCCAAATTCAGGTTTATTAATTAGCTCGAGAGCATGAAATCACATTTTCTGATATAAAAACATGCAGCAGTGATTT